TGGTCAATGACATGAGACAAAGTATATGTGAACTGCTGTATGAAAAGTGAATTTACTCTGTAAATCTTCACCCAAATCCTAATAAAAAAAAATAATAATAATAACCTAATTCATATGGTTTTCTGGAAATGTAGAAGGCAGTTAATTTTATGGTGTTTATTTATTTATTTTTAATAATCACAGTAAAACTGAAAGTAGAACCAAGAAGCCTTAAGCCTCTAAAGATGACATGACAATTCTGCGGCAAATGAAACTGAATCATCGACATCTCCCAACGCTCCAAAACTGGACGTTTCCATTACATGGTCATATACATGAAAGAGTTAGAAACCTCAGGCCACAGAATGACCCCATCTAGCGAAGCCAACCCCACCAGCAAGAGGAGGGAAGTACTCAGTGAAGAGCCATCTAAATTCTGCACAGTAGACGGAGGGAAAATGCAGCAGAATATAAGCAGAGCTTCCGGTAGGATAAAAAGGAACAGAAATTGAGCTGAGACAAAAAGCTGTTCACACAAGAGCACACAGGAGGCCCAGGATACGTGCAAGGGCCACCTGACCATCACAGAGTGACTGAGTCAGGAGGTGAATGTAGCTTCAACCTAAAGTTCCCAGATGACGTGGCACGTAACTACACCAATGTGACAAGGAGCCCACTGGAAAAACAAAACAGTTAATAAGCAAGGTATGAGTAATAAAATGGTACAAGCCCATATGGAACATTCGTTTGGAACCTTATTGTTCTGTTCGTCTCCTGAAGTTTCCTAGAGCATAAACACTGAGCAGATCCAATATTAATTAATTTATATTATCTATTTCCCTTACATCAGCTGAAAATTAAAAGGCAATTTAAAAGGATAATATAATCAACCATGAAGACCAGTCTAATGATCACAAAAACCCTGTGAGGTCAGACAGAATTACTGGAGCTTTATGAAAAAAGCCTTATAAAAAATTAATTTAGGTGAAAGTCAGTAAGGCCTTATACTACCATTAGAATAAAATGTACACAACTCCGAACTACTAAACCTGACCCATTCCCTAATATCATTATTACAATAATATGTACTCAATGTGCAGGTTTCAGAGCATGTAGATACAGAAACCTACTCTTTTCCCAACTCTCTTACTTGGGTTTTTCTGCTCTGAGGATCTTAGCAAGTGACACTTCCTTGAATCTGCCTTTGAAGACTGTCACTGATTGACAAAGTATCACTACATATTTAAAGACTTTCATATCTTTTAATGAATTATTTCTACTAAAATCCTACGGGCCCCAAGTGTTTCGTATTACACACATATTCTGTAGACACAGTATATGAAAATTCAGTAAGAGACACTTAGGTATAAATGCCTAATGGATATAAGTCATGTCTGTGGTTGGGGCTAAATATGGAATACTATGGAGCTCTGGTAGCATAGTGGCTAAGACACTTGCCTGCTAACCAGACGGCTGGCGGTTCAAACCCACCAGCCACTCCTCGGAAGGAAGGTTGGGCAA